AATTTGAGTGCTATCGGGCGTATGGAGGCATGTGATAATTTAAGTGGAGCTGATCTTTCTGCACTGGTATGCCTGCGTTTAATTTTTTTTGCTTGAGTGGAAGTTAAAGATTGAAAACATCTTCTGAAACCTTTTCTGGGGCTGGTTTTGCTGCATTGCTTCATCAGTATGCTTGGAGATCAATGTCCATTAACTGCCATTAGGAAACAAATAACAGAATTTCTTTCTTTCTTTTCTGTTTTCTACTTTTAACAGTATCCAACCATGTATACATAGAAGCCTCGTTCTACATTAAAGTCCTAGAAATTATGTACTATGTAAGGACTGGTTTTTCCTGAAAGACTAATTTACATTTTTGATGTTTCCTCATTAAACACTAGACACGTTAAGGCCAGCCCAGAATGTAAAATACTTTGCAAAAGAACCCCTGACCTGTTTTACGATTCTAGACTTTAGCTTTGTGCCTTGTGTGCATTGTACTTCTACAAGAACTTAAACCATAATATAATCCTGAAACAAAATTGTAAAATTTTAATCAAATTTGGGCTTGAAAATATTCAGATGAATGAAGCTGCAATGGCTGCTTTGGAAGAGAAACTCACATCAACTGGGATCTCAGAGACTTCATGGACAATCAAGACATTCCATTTTGAGCGAGCACTGAGTAAAATCTCACCCTCAGTCTCCGATAAGGTATATTTTACCTTCACTCTCTCAATTATGGCTTCTGATGAAAAGATCCTTGATAGCATTGACTATGTAAATCTGTAATTAACCTATTTTTAATATCTTGATCATCTGGGAACAGCAAAAACAGTTCTACCGGGTATTGTCAGAGAGCTTCAAAGCAGCTTGAGAAGAGACAAATCCCCTTTGTTATACCATTAACAGGAGCTGTAATTGATGTCTGATACTGAGAATTGCATTGCAAACAAGTCATTCTCAACATGAAGATGGGTGTGAATTGTTCAACTGTACTCTGTTTATATGCTTTTTTGGGCCTAATATTGAGTGTTGAAGGAAACTTGCTTCTCTCCTCATGAGGGAAAAAAATTTTGTTCCGGCACATTTAAGATTTTTGTTAGTGGTGTAAGTAGTTTGCAGAAAATACAGTGGAGAAACATGTATTTATCCATTTTAAGAAATGCAAGGGACTTATTGTATTAGTTCACCCCTTTTGAGTAAATGTTCCACCTTATAAACTTCCCTTTTTCCTTTATTTCAATCAGGAAAATTGAAGACAATTTGACTGCTGAATGTGGCATTCTTTTCTGCTGTATGAAGAACTTGATATATCTCTGTAGGTTTAGCTCCATTTTGAAAAGCTTGATATGCCCGTATAATTAGAAGTCCAAAGCCAAGGTTGGGCCTAGAATCGAATGATAACACCTAGTCCAGTGTTCAGTCCTCTCCTCCCTTGCATAGAGATACAGGAGAAGGAAGAAATCATGGCATGACCATGAATGCTGCCAAAATCAACATCATGTGTCCCAAAATCAAGCAAAGTGGATATCAAAATTGCCAGTCAAACATGATTGGCCCGCGGCTTCGGGTTGCAAGGAACATGATGCATCATGTCCAGCCAAGAGATAGAACGTGATTGTCTCCGGTCATTTGCTTTGCTCCATTATTGCATACGTGATGTGATAGATGCCTTTGCAATTGATGTAGCACTTTATTTTTTAAGTATTTAAATGGTGCATTATAATTTTTTCTAAAAAATTATATAATTAATTCCTGAACAATAATAATTTTATTATCATTTTTAATTTTATATCATTAAATTTAATATCACATTAATACAGTTAAATACCATGTTAATATAAATAGTGAAAATTTTTAATAATATTAATAATTATATTATTTATGTTAGAGTTTTATGTAGTTAATAATATTAATAAACTTACTAATTGTTTCAAAAATATTTTTAGATCCGCTTCTTACTCGAAGTGAGGGAATTCTTTCAAATATGGTAAGAGTTCTTAAAATGAAACCCATCCCCATGACCATGACAGGCATAAGCAAAACTACCTACTTCTCGGCTTATTTAGATGATTTAGACAAAAAGGCAAGACACCTCCCCATCCTATGAGATACCAACTGCTCAGATTTCAGAACTTGTTTAAGTAGTGACCTTCCCAGAACTTGCAAAACCCAGATACTTACTGTCCCAAAAGACACATGACCCTCTAAAAATGTGACAAGTTGACTCTATTGTTGGGGCAATTAATGTTGCCCGAATAAATGCACAGAGACAAACAGCCACACTGATTCCATACTTAAATTGGATGGTAGCTTCATAGTCAAGTGAAGGATTTGTTTAAACCCTGCAACGAAAACACAGAAAGAAAAATGATCTTATTTGTATAGACTCTGAGATTTTTAAATTTGACAAATGTGTAAGATTGTCGCATATTTATTCAATTACAGTTAATAAATTAAACTAATTACTAAATAGATATGAATTAAAATTTCTACTATCGTCAATCGATGTATCGAAATAATAATTCAAAATATAATATCTGGAATGATTCAGCTGTACACACAACCATACGGCATTCCATCAGAAAGGTAAAGTAAAGGATATGTTTTGTCCTAGATATGAACTAATCTTACCATTTCTTATTTAGATTCCATGTGACATAAGATGAGGCAAAATAATTATATTGCTTGGGAAATTAAATGCTTGGAGTTTCTGAGACAGGACATTGGAATAAGCCAAGAGGCTCATGAGTTCTTGAATCCTCCATGAATGATTGGTTTGCTAAACGCCAAATGTTAAGGTCTAGTCCAGCAGGCTGCCTGCTACCATGGAACTCCTAGTTTGACTGCTCAATGAATGTTCATCTATTTACTATAAACTTTTTGCCATTCAAAGAGTTCCTTAAGCTTGAATGAGTTACACCTTCTAGAATCTGGACAATAAATATGAATGTTTCGAATTTCGAGCTCAGAAAGGGATTATCTCTTATTAGGTGAATTCTAATGAGTCTCGATATATAATTAAACATAATATAGTTTTAAGTTACAAATTTGAGCTTAAAAAAATTAATGAAAAAATAAAAAGAAAAATATCGGAAGATGAGCAGAGTGATGAGGAAGACTTCTGATTAATTATTAGTTGAAAAATGCCAAAAGAGTGAGGCCCCAGCAGGAGCGTACTGCTGGGGTAAGGATAATATTGTTTTGCCATCTTGCCTATTGCCCTTATTATTTTTCCAAGTCACAATCCTACGTCTCGTAACGTTAGTTCAATGCCAACATTGGAAGATTGGAAGTTTCGCTGTCAGGGCCAGGGCTGCCTTTTCACTCAACTGGCCGGTCTTATATTTTATTATTTATTTCCCAATTTTATCTCTATATATTTCACATGTTAGATTAATTCCCCGTGAAGCTAATGCTTGTAAGGGGATACCACACAAGATTTCCTTCTTTAAGTAAAGCATTATCACATAAAAATATGGGGAAATGGTTGCTATCTTCTTGTATGTTTTGGTTGATGCCCAAATTAAGTTGATAATAACCTTTGTCTTAATTTCGGAATTAGTAATGTTGGGAAAACAGGAAGAGAACAATGGATTGTTGAATGTCGGTAACTCTAAATTTGTGGAAGTTGTTGTTGTGGAATTATAAAGGGCTCTAAAAGTAGTCCAAAGTTATTTAGTTACTAATTAATATTAGTGGAACCCTCCCTGACAGGATGCAATGAATGACTTGCAGTTGTCTAGGTCTCACACAGTAGGTTGAATGCTGAGGTGCCCACAGATTTAAGTCTGGAGCTAACTTAGTCTAAAGCTATGTTGAATTTGGGGTACACCCCAAATTAGTAAAAACTCTCTAAATAGACGAAATCTGGCCTACTTTTAATCTTTTTATATGGTAGAAATGTATTAAGAGAGGGAAAAAAAAGGAGAAAAACATGAATTTATGCAATAACCTTTTTTTTTAAAAAAAATGATGTTATGAGATCTAGATTATATGTACATACATGTATAAAATGACACTTTAACGATTAAAATTAAAAATTTTAAGTTCAAATTCTAAGAAAACAAATATCATATTTAAAAGAAAAAAATAAAAAAGATAATCATAAGCGGAACTAAATTTTGAGATGCATAAATTTATAATCTTATTTAATCACATCTCATGTAAAATTTTAAACCCAACTCAAAGAGAAGATTAACTGTTTATATAATCCTGAATTATATGTGCTATAGAGGGTGCAGGCGAAACAAGAACAGCATGAAGCATGGCAGAGAGGAGATGGCAAAATTGAAGTAAACTTTTCTTTCTTATAGAAAAAGAGGAGAAGCCACCTAACACGTGGTCACAAATTGGCTGTCCTTTCTCTCTTAAATGACCCCAATCCCACATGCAAGTCTTTGCCCAATTTTTGTTGTTTAACAATCCTAATAGTCCCCCACTGATAGCAATGGCCAAAGGGATCAACGTCACCACTTGTAATTCACAAAGGCATTTGCATTCATCACCAACCCCATTTCCCTCTTGCTTTTCCTCGCTGTACAATTTTGGAGGTTGTGAAAATCACTTCCTTCCAAGTACAACGCGTGGAAGATAAGTCTCTTGGCAAACTTTTTTATTTCTTTGGTTTTTTGTACGATGGATAACGTTTGCATAATCCTTTAATTGCTCCTTTTGCTACACTATAGTTGGTTGTTCGCTTGTTGCTAATCATTCCTCTAATCTTACAAAAAATTATTGAACACACATCATGAAAACTACGGAGTACGGACAAAATTTTCTTTTATTTTCTTTAATTTTTAACTTTAAGAAAGTTCACATATATTATATATAACTTTTTTGTCAAATCTTGGTACATCACTTACTTACATTAAAAAAAAAATTAGTTAAATAACGGAGGTCTATAGGCATTGGTGGAAGATAATTTTTAAACAATTCAATTAATATGATATTTTTGTCAAATTCATGATGGGAAATGCATTAGTTATATTTTTTTTGAAAAAAAAAATATTACATAAGTTGGTGCCAAGAGGAATCTATTACTATTCTTCATAAAATTTTTGCTCTTATTGTGACATCTTAAAAAAAATTGAATCACATAGAAATGCCCTCCTTGTGGTGCTGTCAAGTTCAGTATTGACAATTCAATGAAGGGCAGCCCAAGAGAGACAGGAATTGGTAAAGTGCTTCACAATGAGGTTGGTTCTATCAAACTCATGTTTTATAAATCTATTGGTTATGTTGATTCAAACCTTATTGAATTACTTGCTACTATAGAAGTTTTTGTTATTCTTTTTGTTTTTAAATGAGACAATTTTTATCATTAATTGATTGAAAGTGATTAATCAAATGCAGTTGACTGAATGTTAAACTCCCAAACTCTTTTTTGGAGGTTAGCAATTTTATCCTACAACTTGAATATTTAAAATATCGGTTGAATAGTTGAAAAATACAACATATTTTCTTAATTGCAAGTAAATTGGCTGATGACTTATTAGAAATACAACATATGTTCTTCGTCAACAAAAGTTGTTGATGGTGATTAGTTAAATTGTTGATATATACGTATTAGAAATTTTTGTAATTGTTTTGTTCTTATCATATACTAGTTTGCTCCAATACATATTAATAAAGAATCATATGCTTTTCCAAAAAAAAAAAAGAGATAAGAGTAAATTACAAAAATATGTATGAATTAGGGCAAATTACATGCATAAAGTTCTTGCAAAGTGAACAAGCAAAACAAATGACTTTTGGGAAACCTTTCATTTAGAGAAGTAACTATCAGCTGGAAAATTCCATAGTGACATTCGAACATCGTTATCCTCTTCTCCTTTTCTTCTTTCATTGATCCGTTTGATTAAAATGTTTGCATGTGGCAAGGTACGTAAGGTGAAAAGAAGGTTTGCACTGATATCACGATAATGAAAACAAAGTCTAAATGGCCGTTTGGTCATGTTGAAACTAGGGCTATGATCTACTTTTTTTTATTCCTAATTAAGCAACCCTTTTGACATGGACAAGATTTGACAAACCATGCTCCTGAAAATTGACATGAAAGTAATCAATAATTGATATTGAACAACTGTCGGTGGGAAACCAGGAATATTGCGAAAAGGTCATAAATGAAAATTTAATCTTATATATATATATATATATATATATATAGGATCCTATGATAAGGTAAAT